GCATTTTAACAATGTACATATGTACATGAGTGGATGTTGTACTTGCGCAGTTTGTTGTCTTGTAGTACCATACGAATGTATGGCAATCATTCCAGTCAACACCAACTACGAGTATATCAATCAAAATGCCGCGACCAGTCTTGACCAATAAAACGAAACCGGATTGCGCTTACAAGGCTGAACAAATCTTTTTTGTTTTTTGTTACCTCAAAACCAGTATAATCGCCACTAGATAATTACAAACACTCGCAAGAACTTATGTGTGTGTGTACTGTTTGGATTTGTCTTTAAATATTTATTGTACATCGGTAATTTGTGCTAATCGCACTTAGTAATTCTAGTGAATTAAATTAAAAGTCTATATGAATCTTGAAAAAAACGCATGAAAATCAATGATGAGCAAGCAGTGAGTGATGAGCGTTGCTGCACTGGGTTGTTGGCTGCGTCGTCAGTGGGTAATTAATAGTGGGTTTTTACTTTGAAAATTCTCAGTAATTTCTTTACGTGCATTCCATGGATTTATTCTATTCTTTGTTGGTATCTGAGGTAAATTATTTTACGATGGATTAGATTGTGTGATTTTAAGTGGAAATGAGGAGGACCTACAAGTAGCATTTATTTGATAGAGAAGTAGGGCAGTCTAAGCATTTTAAAGATTTTGATTTCTTCAATTAACTTTCAATTTATTACTACAAGAATTATTACAAGATATTTATATAAGAGGGGATTAACAAAAGTTCGGTAAGTTGACCGGCAAAATTAAATTCTATTTGTATTTATTCGTAATCTTTGTTCTCTTCTATCATCTCTACATAATCGCCATTGCTTTCAATGCATTACTTAAGCCTACAGATCCACTTCTGAAAGCTATTAAAGTCCTTTCCTTTAATTTTTCTTTTAATTTTCGGAAATAACTAGAAATCACAAGGTTCTAAACTGGGGAATATGGCGCTGGAGGTACTTCATCGATCCCAGAGATCGCATTAAAATTACTCGTTATTTTAGGAGTTTGGGATGGAGCGCTGTCATGATGTAATAAGTAGCGCCGCAAATCCTCTTTGCTCCTGTTTTCCAACAAATTTTTTATGACTTTTGGTAAACACATTTCGGTGTACCATTTTGCAGTTACTGTCTGACCCCTTTCCAGTGGAATATCAGTTACGATTTTAGATCTGGTGAAGTAAACTGGCATCATTACTTTTGCCCATGCCCAATTTATAAAAAATCATTTCCAGTATAAATCGTGGGTCTTTGCGAATTTTGGGCTTCACCAGAGCTACAGTGATCTCATCAGTGCATGATTTTGGTCAACCTTCCCGGGGCTCGCCCTCTACGGAAAGACGTGTCCAGTCTGGAATCTTCGGAATCACTTAGAAATAGTCTTTCAAGACGGTGCAATCGTTCCATATGCAATTTGGCATTTACTGAATATTTGTATTGGTTGTAAATTACGCCGAAACCCAAAAAGAATCACATGGCGAATTTCTGAGAAAATCAAATGCATCGAATGCATAAGACCTTATTGTCTTTCTAGAGCTTGTGATTCATTGATATGAGTTTTGATCGGTACAAATTCTAAAATTATATAAAAGTTTATTTTTAGAGAGGAATTATCAATACCTCCGTACGGATTCGGCTTAGATTAAATTGTAGGCTGCTCCATCTCCAAACAGCCGATGGATTTTAATGAGCAGCTTTTATTTCATGTCAGAAATACACTCGGAAGGCTTGCCATTTTCTGCCTTGGGCCGACCAAGTACAGTAAACTTATCGATAATTTAAATACCACCTCTGCGGGCAAGCGGTTCAAGAATTTATATTCAGTAAGGTTAGCCTGTAGTTAGAGGCGACTAGAAACCGAAACGATCCGGATTTTAATAAGACCAAAGTCATTTACCTCTGTAATATTCCCCGAAAAGCCACCGGACTGCCATTCGGAAGGCTCGGGTTCAGATGTTTTGGTGCTACCAACATTCCAAAAATATGAAAAATTAATAAAAAAAAAAATTCTTCTAATTGCGGTCGCCTCTCGCTTAAGCGGTTACAAAGCGCCAATAATATATATATGTATATATATATATATACCTATATAAAATAATATAATATAAAATACGTATATTTAATACCGTTTAAAAAAAAAACACTTGTAAAAATAACAGTGAAAACATATGAAAGAAGAAAATGTTAAAAATCTTGTGGGCGATAAAAGTGTGTTTGGTTTTTTAAAGAAACTACATCATCTTCTAAACATACATTCAGGCAGGTGTATATATGTATGTATGTATGCTTGTTTAATGAAAGTTAAATTAGCATATTTAACGAAAGTGCTGGCAAACGAATCAACGAACATTTCAAAGAATATCGTTCAAATGCATTGGTATGAGTGTGCGTGTATGTGCGAAGCATTTATGAAAGCGATAAGCCGGTAAATATACATATGTACATATGCGGGTGTGGTACGTTTACAACGTTGTTGATTATGCTGATTTTTAAGGGTTTTTGTGTTTTTGTGAAAGTCTTTGTGTCTTGTAGATATGACCAATGAGTAATACATAGACATTTGCAAGTGAGTGAGTGATAGTCAGGGGTTTTATATCGAACTTCAAACTTTGAAAATGAAGAGATCCAATGCGACAACTATTGGTTTTGAATATAATTTTGTCGCTTTGAAGTTAACAGCGGCTATCTATGTGGAAATGAGTTCTTAGCGATATCCAGCTTAACCCTCTCTGACATCCATGCCCATAAAAGAGTCTCTTCTACATCCTGCAGAGATTAAGTATTTTTTTTTTGGATTTTTTTAGTATTTGCAAGTACTTCCAAAAAAGATTAAAACTAAAATTTTACTAATGAGAAGGAAGCCAAAAATCGCTTGCGCGGTTATAATACGCTATATAGAAAAGGAGAATGAATTGATAGATTGATACAGTAATTTCTGCTCATTTAGATGGGGTAACTTTCAACACTCTCCCTTCAAATCTCCTGGAGAGTTTATAGATCAAACTTACCCAGACCGATCATTATTCTAGTAAACAGATGAATCAATCAAAATTTCTCTAACTTCCATTAACGATCGTGCCAAGGAAATAATTTGAGGAAAATGCTTCGCTTTCGAAAGGCATTTCTATAACAAAAATAACGAGATCTGATTGTTTGAAAAAACCGCTTAAAGCGATTATCAAAATTATTTTTATCGCTTGGTTTTCCCTATAATACAATAATTTAAAGGTAGCTTCATTCTCTCTTCGCAGTCAGCTTCATAGCCATGTGACATTAAACGTGTTTCGGCTTTTTCGTGCTACCCTCTTCTCTTAAAAAAATCTACCATATTTATATAAAAAGTATGTGGAGAATTTTCACATTTTTTTAAATGTTTAAAAAAGAATCCATTGTATTTACCAACCCCTGATAAAGCGCTTCATCGAGTTTTTAAGGCATGCAGAGAAGGGATTCTTCCACAAAAATTTAAATCGAGTTCAAGAAAATAAGGACTTGACTGGATTTGCTTTATCCATGTTTGAATACAAATTAGTCTCACAGAGATGTCTCAAGGAAATTTCGAAGATACCTCACACTTATTTTACGAAGTTCAAGAGATTTTTAATACCTTGAGATGCAAGCTCTTGTAAGCAATCAGAGGAGAAATATTCGGAAAATCGATAACGAAAAGCATTGAGAGGAGCTGGACAGTGGCAGAAAAGTTCTTTAAGAAACAGCCCATTCCAGCGCCACGGCTTATACGCCAGTTAGTTCTGTTCACTTCGATCAATCGCACGTGGTTTCACTGCGTCATCTGTTGTTGGCCCTTCTGGAGAAGGCTAGTCTTAGCATATAGTAAGCCGATGAAACAGGTATGCCTACATCATGTGAAGAGTTTACCGGGGTTATGATTGTTCCTAATCCGGCCAGCTCATCGAGCCCCCGTTTCGCATATAACCGAGAAAACCTATAAGTCTTAGTTTCAAAAAAATAAAAGAAACGACGTCTCTTTTCATTTTATTTATAATAAAAAGCATCTAGGAAATTATTTTTTTAGCTCTGCCGCCAAAAACAATAACGCCTGGAAACAAATATTTTAATAGATCCATATGTGTATTTAATATTATACAATAGCACCTGTCTGGAAGACAACCAATACCTTTATACTTTTTATGTGCATGAAATGGTATATTAACTTTGATTCGAACTATGTACGAGAAATAAAACCGACAGACCCATCGAAATTCGCACTGATCGGATCAGCATGATGAGTTGATCTGTTTAAGCGTTGTGGATCTGTCTGTCTGTTAGATGCATTAGTACACTTAAACCATCTTTTGTTGGAACCGCCCAGATCGGACCATTAAATCATGTTTATAAACGACCAATGTTTCAGATTTGAGATTTGGGATCATATGATTGTCTAAAAGGCAGCTCAGGGCGTGTTTTCACTCCACACTCATATGATGGAGTATAACAGCTATAACTCCTATTCACCGATCTTTTCTGTTATGCGGCTTTGGTCGAAATTCCGTCAAAAAGGCATCTAGAGTCATGAAATATGCTCTTATACACTCGCATCTGCAACTAAATACATCATATAGCTTCCATATAAGATTTTCGCCAAAAGAAATCAAAAACCATTTCGAATCTTGAGACTTGGTATTCCACATACGTATATACAAATAAGCATTGCCACCGCAAAACATCGAAATCGGCAGACTATGTCATGTAGTCGCCATACAACCGATTCGATTTATACAGATATGAGAATTTGTTATTTAATCCAAAAATGAAAACCTATACATTCGATATGCCCTAGGCTTGTTTTTTCTCTTCTCGCTCCAAAAGTCGCTGAGAGACAGAGAAGGGAGTTCGCGACGTTAACCGAAGTTCATTTCTGAAAAGTCGTTCCAAATTTTGTGTGATGTTTTGATTTTTTGTTTTTATTTATTTAGCAGATTTTCTAACTAATTGCAAATTTTTTAACGTTCCTCCTCTTTCTTTTCTCCATTTTCCAGAATTATGTCTATTACCGATCTGCCACCTTTGCCAAAAAGTCTTAGCGGCATTAATAAAATGCTCGGCTCCGATTCGGGTTTGATTAGCGATGATGCCGATGCCAATATGGAAAATCATATTAACAATCATAACAACAGCAACAACAACAACAACAACAACAACAGCAGCAGTAGCAGTAACCTAAGTGCCGGTAGTAGGCATAGCAATAACATAGACAATAAAATAGAATACCAAAAAGGTGATAGTAATAATAATAGCAACAACAGCAGCAACAACGGCAGCAATAGCGGCAGCAATAGCGGCAGTAGTAGTTGTAGTAAGCCAAGCAACAGCAATAATATTGGCCAAAGTGAATTTGATAAAGCGAAATTGTTGGAAAGTAACGAAATGGAATTGAATAACGCAAGTGGCAAGTCAAAGACATCAACTAATGCCGCAACAACAACAACAACAACAACAGCAACAACAAATTTATTAGAAACGCCGTCGCCAGCAGCAGCAACAATAACAACAACGCCCGCAAAAACAGCAACATCAGTCACCACAAATGCCAGCGCCGGCCCTGACGGTACATCGGCGACGGCGACCACAGCGACGACAGCGACGAGCGTGACAGGAAGCACACTGGATACGCAATTAGCCATTTTAAGAAAAGAAATGGTAAGTGTAAGACGACTAATGTCTTTCTCTTGTCTATTTTTTACTTATTGTCTATTGTTTCTTGTGGCTTTTATTATGGTGATTAGAGACGGCGCACACACACACACAGACACACAGACACTGGATTACGGCGCGAATGCTAAATTACTTTGCATTAATATTTGATTTTTTCCGTATATTTAATGTATCGATACGTACATATTGTACATGCATACATATAGACGCACTACAGACGAATCGGAGATGTACAAAATTTGTTAATAAACGTGTGTGTAGAAAGACCGGAAGCCAAAATGCTTTACTTACATTACAAACATTTTTGTTTAAAAACTCGACTGTGTGGGTGTAGACGATTGAAAATTCATTGAACCCTATACAAGCGATCAACGGATGTTCTACGTGTTAATGGCGAAGTGAGGGCATCGACACCTAAAGAACGTTTTTAAAGTTCGGGTGGCCCCTTTCTTGAGTGTGTGCAAAGTTAGCTGATTTTACTTTAAGTGAGTTCAGTAGGGGGTGGCTGCTAATTTGGGAGAATTCTTTACCGCCTTTTGACATCCGCTTTATCGGCTTTGGTATACAAAAAGGTGTGTGAATATTATTTCAAACAAATTGAGAGACCTACAGATTTGTACCAAGCTCCCAACGACTTATCTACTTCCTCAATTGACTCAAAACGGTGTCCTCGAAGTGGTCTCTTGAGTTTTTGGAACAGACAGAAGTCACATGGTGCTAAGTCCACGTCTCGTCTCCTGCAATCATGCATTTCAGCTTGTCCTGTTAGCCAGAAAGCATGGTTTCACACATATCAACGCGATGATTTTTTTCCATGAAATTGAGTGTTTTAGGAACCAAACGAGATTTGACTTTTTGTAGGGCCAAATAGTCTTTCAAATTCGTTTTTACAGATCCTTCTGATATTCTAGCCACATCAGTAAAGTCTCTAACAGTCAATCGAAGATTTTCGAGGGCCATTTCTATAATTTCATTGGAGTCTTGCATATCAGTTGACGTTGATGATCGTCCCGAGCGCTCTAAGTCATCAACACGTTTCCGACCCTCTTTGAAGTCTTTGTACCACTTATATCCGTTCATGAGTGACATAGTTGAGTCCCCAAAGGCTTTCTGTAGCATCCTTAACGTTTCAGCAGCCGAAAGTTCGTTCCGCAAACAAAATTTGATCGCACTTCTTTGCTCAATTAAGTCAGACATAATAAAAATCGCTGAAGGCACTTTTGGTCGTTTCCTAAACACAAGCGAAACTAATCTACCAGCGATGACATTGACATGAAATTTGTCGTAGATGTCAATAACAGTGCTACCAACATTAAAACAAAAAAAAAAAAAAAATTAACTCGAACGCGCGAAAATTAAATTAAAAATTCACCTTACTTTTTGCCATTGGCAACCAAAATGATCGAAATCGGATAACTTCATCACATAGCACCCTCTAACAAAAGGAATTCCTTAAATTTGATACGGCTGTAGACAGCTCTTTTTTTTGTTTCCCATAACTCCACATTGAAATACATATTGCTAACGACTCGACTATAGCTACTGCCCAAAAATAAGGTTGGAATCTATGAAATTAGCTGCGCCGAGAGTCAAATGCAGCCATTTTTTTATTCTTCATTGGCCATTGAAATACCAAGTAGAACAAGATCCTTGCTCTACTTCCATCATCACTTACTGAATCGATTACTCTCAAAGCTGGAGCGCTTCAATTTATTCGGACGTCTTCATCTTCCCAACTTCGTTGCTCTCCCTTCGTTCCTTGAACTATTAATTCATATATACAATAAATAAGCCTTTCATTAATAAAACGTAAATAGATCTTGTGATCTGCGTAGGTTTTCAATTTCAATAGCCGCCAGCTCCCCATGCTACACAAAATTAATTGTCGCGCGAGGTTTCCACCAAAGTCTTACAAAAGAAGAGATGTTGTTGAAGTTTTTATGTCAATATTTAAGAAATTTTTTAAAAATTTTATTAAGGACGCCTATATGTTATCCATTGCAATAACAAAAACACCAAAAAGTTCAGTTGTTTCGAAAGAAATTTTTTCCCAAGTTTTTAGAGTTTATCCACTGCTGACGTCACATTTGGGTATTTTCTTTTCTAGAACTTACTAAGTATGTTCGATGGGATTTTCACCTAACAACTGCGATGGTAAATTTATCTGACTGAGGGCATAATAACGCAGCCAGTCTTGAAAAATGTGTACCCTGTGCTTTGAAATGTTGGCTTGTGGAGAAACCCAGTGCGCTGCAAGACCAACAATATCCAAAGTTACCGTCAAACTATGTTCCAATACATCTTTATACCCACAGCGGCACATAGTACCCCCTAAGAAAACCAAACGTCCAACTCCAGATGAAGCCATGGAATCCCCAACCGCAACGCTACCGCCACTCTGTTTGACCGCATTTTTAATATTCTTCACATCGAGCGCAGTATTTAGTTTTCTCCAAACTCTAGATCGACTCCCATTATCAAAAATAGTATACTTACTTTCATCGATAAATGGAATTCTTTTCGGAAAAGCCTTACCTTTCTCAAGATCCAATTGTAAATCTATGCTCCCTCTCTGTTGGAAACTGTTGGAGTTGTTGAAAGATCAAGGAGTATATGTAGACTTCTTTACTTTACTTGTGCCACAAATCCTTAGCAGTTGCTTAGACTATTCTGTAAACAAATGCAAGTCTTCAGTAGAGAGCTGCGAGTAGGAAAAACTTCCAGTCGATTTTCAACGTCGGCCCATTCGTGAAAAAGTTCTCATTCTAAAGTTTTTATATCACGAATAATGTTTCACTTGCTTCGGTAGTGTGAAGTTAAGAGACCCAGGCTGGATCAAAAGGCAAGGAACAGTAAAGGATATGGAAGGTAAGCGAAGGGTAGGAAATGAAATAAAAGACTCTGAGTCAAAATTGCTAGATGAGAGAAGAAAAGGATGCTAATCTGAGGCCAAATTACTCCAAGTCAGTCAAGAGTAGGCAAGTTATTAGAGAAAGAGTTTTAGAGAAAGTGTTGAGAACAAACATTTTACCTCCAACTTCTGTACTGTACTTTGAGCAGCGATTTTTTGTTTCTGAAATACACGCAAATACGATGAGCTATGTGAGCAACTTCTTTATAATCCACCAGTTCAAGCCGAAAATAGACATCAGAACTCCCACATATGTATCGACTGATTGGCGAGACCTCCCTCAGAGTAACATCGTTTGTCATTAAATGGCCAAAGACTAATAAATTTACCATTAGCGAAAGTATGAGTATTTCTATGAATTTATATAAGTATAATATATAAAAATAGCATACATATACATATGTCTATTTAAACTCCAACGATAGAGTTTGAATTTCCGTCTACAACACAATAATTTCTAAATGCAACACACAAGCACTTTCTTGCGCTCTTGCTCTTGCTCTGACTTTGACTTTGACATGATGGAGCTCCACGCCACAAACTTTCGCTTTAGCACGCATATACGTGGCCATACATATGTATGAATGCATGTATATACATATATTGTAGATTTATACGCATATGCATATGTGCATATTGATGAGCTCTCCTCACTCTAGACGACAGAAAGCCGGCACTATTATCAATGCATTTTTTTCTACTTTTCTTCTTTTCCTTCAAGTTTTTTTTTTAGATTTTTTTTTGTTTGTTTTGGTGAAAAATTTGTGGAGCTGAGTAGGTGTGAGTTTATATTCTTTACTTTATTTTAGATGCTGCTACCCATAGTAGTTTGTACATATGTACATATATATGTATGTAAATGTCCCCGTTGCCTCTCTGTCTCTCTCACCATTTTAACATCTTCATCTGACAGCTCATTTGGTTGCTTGTTGTTTTTACTATTGCATTTCTATCATCGCCTTTTGCTCTTTACACCAGTGGCTCCTGCTCGTGCTGCCCGTGCCCATTAGTTACTCACGCTGTTTAGCTGTCAGCCATTGAGTCAGTCAGTCATTTAGTCATTCTGTCAGTTAGTTAGTTATTCATTTAAATAGTTGTTGTTGTGATTTTATTAGAGGAAAGTGAAATGAGTTGACCTTAAAAAAGTTGCTTCTTTTCGTTTTTTTTTTTTGTTTGAACCGTCTCACAGTGACCCACCTTCTCGTTGGTCTTTTGTATTTATTTTTTATTTTTTCTGCAGCCTCGGCTTTTATTTCTACTTTTAGTGCATTGCAAGGCATGACATGTCCATATTGGAACTACAACAATAATATATGGGGTTTAGAGGGAAAGAATAAGAAAATGTTTTGAATGTGAAATTTATAGGTAGTAAAAGTAGAAAAAAAAAATCAAAAAAAAAAAATAAATAAATACAAAAAAAAATTTACATAAATATTTTTAAGCAACTTACAACAACAATGAAAGGCGTAATACTGAAAAACAAAAATACCAACAGCACAATACAAAACTGCATTCGGTATGCGTTACACGTACCTTCTCCCATACATTGTAGTATATATTATTTACATATATATGTGTGTGAGTGTATGTCCACTCCTCAGGCCAGACTTTTTTCTGTATTTCAATTTTTTTATTACATTTTTAGTTTGCGCTAAACAATGAACTTTTATTTATTTTCGTTAAATTTTTTTGCTCTCTTTTGTACTCAAAATTTTAAAAATTTTTATTTACTTATTCCATAAAATGCCCATACATGCCGTTATACGCAACTTTGCGCATGCGCTTTTTTCAAATACATACATACGTACATTGTAAATATACAATATAACTATATGCGTATATGTATGTATATACGTGCTTTTGTACTCTTTGTTTAGCCGTTGTCATAGTGCATTGTCGCAGTTTGTTTTTGTGTCATTGCCAACGTCACGTGTGTCGTTCACACTTTACGCGCTCACCCACATTTGTTTGAAAAAATTTACTACTTTTATTTATGTTTCTTTTTGTTGTTATCCCATGTGTATGTGAAATTTGCATAGAAAGTATTTTATTTAATATTTAAATTCGTAATAAA